GAAAGAGAGGGAACCACTGAAACAGCAACAGCTATTTGCAGGAGCAGAATGAGAAATTAAATCTCATCATGCAACAGGTAACATTACATTCTTCACAGTTCAAGTGGGGTTGCTTATCTATTTGGCTAGTAAATTAGAAGAGTTATTCATTATGCTTATTGGATTAGACAGAAAAATGAAAGAGAGAAGAGAACAGATGGGAAGTCCAAAAACAAGGGGCTGGTTAGTTAATTTTAAGGTGCTGAATAAGTTAATGAAATAGTCATCATCACTGTAAGGCATAATCATAAAGGTTGTTTACGGCAATCAGGTCTGTGTCTTTTCCTAAAACTTCAAAGCAGTGATCCAGTTCTGCAGCGTACAAGGGACTGAACATATTCCAAAAGCAAAGGAAAGCTGGGGGAGTTCAGGGAGTGCAAGTACAATCCCTCTGCTGCTAAATCTCATTCAGTAGAGATAGACAGACTGAGGTGACTTGCTTTCCAAGAAATAGAGGAGGGAAAAAGACATTGTAATAAATGGCCACTTTTAAAGTACGCTGTTTGGGTTATAATCTGTTATTCAGACAGTTTCTGTCACCTAGCCAGTTGGGTCAGTCGGCTGTTTAAGAAGAAGTAGACAGAATGAAATTTTGTCAGCTAATTCAGTCACCTTGCTCAGTACTCAGACAACTACAGTCTTTTTCTCTAGATGAATGGGAGAAATAGAAAGATTGATACGCAAATATAAATATCAAGCTCAGGAGGTTTTGGAAGGCAGTGGTTATCAAGATTAAACAGAGATTAAACCTGCTGGAGAGCTGACATTAGTGTGAAGTATGTCAATAAGAGAAGGTTATACTCTGCCCTGTATGTCTCTCCCCATTTCTTTTGGTCTTGTGATTTTTTCTGAACAGCGGCAAAGTATCAAATGATACAGCCTGACTATAGGTGGACAAGGGCCCAGACGTGTCATGTGTTCTTTTCTCCTCCAAAAATTCAAGGAAGACAAGGTATGGAAGAGTTCACCCCTACCTGGTGTCTCTGATATGCGGAGAACATCTTTTCAAAATCTTCTAGATCCAGCACCTTGAATGCCTTTAAATCATCAATCTCATTCCAGATTGTGCCATGGATCCTCTCCTAAAAGAAAAGGTCATATTTTAACGAGATAGCAAGAACTTTTACCTAAGAACATCCAATCCCATTTGGATAGATCATACTCTTGTGTTCAGTGGTCATATTGCTATGTACTACTCCTGTAGTTTTAGAGGGCACACTTTGTTTCAAGAGTCAAAGGACAGAAAAAATAGTGGCTTTTTTGTTTGTTTGTTTTTAAACATACTATTTTGTATTTTTCATCACAGCAAGCCTCTGATGAAAAGGCACATTCCAAGACTAGCAGACCACATCTCAAGCATTATCCATGATCCCACAGCATACTTCCTTTCAAGAGTGGCCATCTGTCTAACACAAGGATTGTGGTCTTGCTGAAAGAAGTGTTACCATCGGGAGGAAAGAGCCTAGGAAAGACACTGATGCATGACAATCCCCAGACACATCTTCCCTCTTGCAAATTTTGCCAGGTTTTGTTATAAAGCCCAAAGGGTGCATGGTTTTCATTCTTCCTGCCTGTGAAAGTAGTTTAAATTTTTATTTTATTTTATTTTACTTTTAAGGGTCTGAGCCTTTGAAGTCTAATTGTTTCCTATCACATAAACTCCCTTGTCTACATGAGGTCTTTGTCAGCTCAGACACAGACTATATACCCAGACCTCTGAAAAAGCACCATCTACGCTAACTCGAAATGTTCACAACCCTTGTGATGATACATTATCTTGAATGCCAGGGAATCCTAGCTGTCTGGCAGATGGTTAGCATGGAGTGAGACAGGGACAGACTCCTCCTACTTTGCTGTCCAGCAAACCCAGACAACATAGGTTCTCGTAGTACATGAATTGGCTAAGCAGCAGTCATCCTAAACTAGATGAAGGTCTTGGGTCTCCTGCTGACATTTTCAGGACAGATACCCTTGCTGGCAGAGGACACAACGATTGAACTACCTTCTCCTTCCTACTGACTGTTAAGGTGCATGTTTGTGTGAGACAAGCTTTAGGCAATAGCCCATTTAGAAAAGGAAAGCTTGCTCTTCATAACTGACACCACTATCTTTCAGTTCATTTAGTTAATGAGGTGTACATTTATTGTACTTTAATAAAAAATAAGGGAGTAATTGATTTAAAGAAAAAAGAAATGGATAGAAGGGATTGTAAAAAAGACCTAAGCAAACCCCAGGAGATGAAGAGCCGGAAGAACACTGGTGCAGAGAAAGCCAGGAACAGCAAGCAACAGCAATGAAACCCTCATACAGGCTCCAGCTCAGAAGTACCTGACTTGTACCTCCATAGCAAAGTGCATTAACACCTAATTATCAGAACTAATTAGGAACAGGCTCTACTTCCCATTCAGAGTCATCAAAGGAATGAGGGAAATGTGGTAAGCCACAAGGCTCAAGGAGCAAGGAAAAAAACTAATGGGAGGATAAAATGAGGGGGAAATAAAAGTGTGAAGTGTTCTGGAGGAAATTCCTGGCAGGGCAGACACTGTAGAGAAAAAACAACACCCTCTCTCCAGAGATGGCCTGTGAGTGCCTGAGGGCAAGGAGGGGTGTCTGCAGTGCTATTTACAATAAGAGCACATCCTAGATGGGAGCAGCAACCATCCCTGAGCAGGCTCCCCAGTATCACTGTATCATCCCTCACAATCAGTGTGGCTCTTCTTTCCAGAGTGGGAAGAACATCATGACCCTGTGACTGTAACATGGCAAACAAGTTTGTGAGACTCATCTCAGCCAAAGGAATAGGTGACAAAGCTAATTTTCATTTTATCCTAACCCTGAACTCTGCTGCCAATCTTAGCCAGAAGCATTCAGACAGAGTGATCATTCTCATTCAATTTCCAGTCTGGCTTTATAAACGATGAATTATAAATCCTAAGGGATGTATTTGAACAGCAGAGCAGTTCTCCACTGCCTCACTGTTTCAGATTGTCCCATCAAGCACTGAAATGGAAGAATATTTCTTGACAGGAGCCAATGGACATGACTTCAGGAGCAGTCCGTGGAGTTATCATTGGGATAGAGCCCTGAGGAAGCCAAAAAGCTCTATTCCGTGTTTGGCATATGTTGGATGTGACTCTAGAGACAACTACTCATTAGAGTTTTGCACATCTACCTGTCCAGCTGCAAAACTCTCACAGGATTAAAGTTTCCTTACTAATGGCAAGAACAGTGAAAATGTGCTACAGAACAATCTAGTCTGAATGAACTGCAGAGGTGCCAGAACAGGAAGTTCTGAGACTCGAAAGGGATTGCAGAGAGTAGTTCTTGTCTGCACTTTCCAAAGAAAACAACCCAATGAAAATTATCCTAATTTGAATTCAGATTCATTTAGGACCTGGGCTGAATCTGGTCCTCTACAGGATGTATGCTTCTTGTAGCGGAAAGAGAGATTCCAAAGCAGCATACACTGCAACGATGTGCACAAACAGAACTTGGACCAAAGCAACACAATTTTAGTGTTAATCCAGTCAAAGAAAAATCAAAGCAGGTAGAGGTATAAACATAATTTGCTACACAAAACACTTCCAACAGGGCCATCCCTTCTATTTCTACCATCAGCTCTCTCCTTGAAAACTTTCATACTGCTGTCAGATAATTTCCTACACTGAGCTCTTGATACACAGTTAGAGATTAACTGGCTGATAGTTCCTTGTCATCAGCCAGAGAAGACTGAGCATTTCAAGAGAAACGGACCTGCATCATGTGGTTGCTATGATTAATGATTTCTTCAGCACCACAAAAAAAATACTTATGGTCCCCAAATAACAATTTAAAAATAAATTCTTTATCCTTTCTTTTCTTTTCTTCTCTGTCCTTAAAAAAAAAAA